TTCGTTAACTCCGATGATGCAAGACATTTCCAATAAAATTGTATTACTTCCTGTTTTTTAGGATGACTTCCGGTTATATTTAGAATCCATTTGTAAAGGCCGATTCAGAGTTCCCTAACGGTAAGCGGTAAGAGGTAACAGTAAGAAATAAGAAAAATAAACCTTCAAATTCTAATAGTTTTTTCGTAAGACGCAAGGTGTAAGTAGTAAGAGGTAAGAAATGTTCATTTCATACCTTATCGCTTACGGATTCAGTTGATTTCGGTACGGGTAGTGCGAGATCGGTTTTGTATAAAATATTGGGCATTGCTCCGGTGTTTATGTTTTTATTAAGATATTAAGGCATAATTACACTGACCACAAACAATATTTTTCGTTAATGGTGCTTTAATACGACGTAAATGACGATTTAAATTTTTTTTTTATCTATGGCACAATCGCACAGCCTACACGTAGGCAACATTCTTGAATGTGGCATATTTGAAGAAGCGCCGCGGGAACTTTTAAATCCGTCTTCCTAGTTAAAAAACAGAGTATATACAATACTGCACCACCTATTATTATGCATCAACACTATCCATATTAGTCAAATCGGCCAAACTTAAAAGTCAAGAACCAAGCACGTCACGTTGAAAACATATATGTGATACAAACGAGAAAACCAATCGCGCATTGTCAAAGTACATTTGTTTTACGGCCTTAAGGCAAGGTTAAGAAAGTACGTTGCCTCGTAACTTTCAGCCAATAAACGTTCAGTATTAAAATACGCGAATGACGTCACCCAGAATCCCATTATGTACACATCATAAAAATTAATTATTAACGCAACAACAGAGCAAATTAAAAAAATTCAAAATGGATCGAAATGGTACTTTACATGGATGTGCTGAAAAGTTCCTGCATTGCATACAAAGAAACATGCTGGCGAAAACGCACTTTATTCAAAATAGCTTACATTTCATATTCATAGTCGTCTGCCGGGAAATGCAGACTGCACAGTCGATTGCATACGGGGTTCAGGTTCCCCTTTCCATTGCACTTTATAACCCATTCTTTTTGTATTACAGGAATTACCTTTTGGAAAAGCAAAAACTGAATCTGCGATCCATTTGATTTCGATTTGTTGGAGCTGCTATTGCAATAACAACGTCACAAAGATTTCCATCCGGCATCTAAGACCCTATATTGATACTTAAGTATCCAACAGTAAGTATTCAATCGAATTATAATAAGTCTTCGTAATAGACTCTTCAGCACTGTCTGAAAATTAAGTACACAGTTCAAATATAACTGTCAAAGTGAACGAAAATTTAAACACTAATCAAATGGGACTTCCGGATTCTCGATGACGTGTCTCTCTAAAGTTACGAGGCAACCTATTCGCTCTACTAAGGTATGTTCGTAGCTCTCCCTTCATACGTTTCCGTTTGTCCGTTAGCCAATCAGAAGACAGCAAATTTTTAAATCATACGTCGTCCGTTTACCACGGAAAAGTTGGTTGAG